TCGTTTGTAAAATACAAAATATATATATATATATAACTTGTGTTCACAATCGTGGAATTGACTATAGTACTCTTGATTTTTCCTCACTGATCTATTTATTATGACGGCCCAGTATTGTGTATTTTAATTTTAAAACGAGGGAAAACCCCTCGAGGACTCGTACGTCATCGAATGTATTATGCATGCGGAACGAAACACATGAGTCCTACGTATAACCGTAGACACGAACAGAGATCGTTTGAACGAATCCAGGATTTTGAAAGAAAGAGAGAGAGAGAGAGAGAGAGAGAGAGAGAGAGAGAGAGAGAGAGAGAAAGAGAGACAGACAGACAGACAGACAGATAAATTATATATAGAACCATGATAGAATAATATCTCCGAATATTCTGAATAATTGAATATTACGTAGAAATTGAATATCATTTCATCGTTCTGCGTTTCTCATGGTATATATACATATGTACATGTTTACACACATACATATTATATTACATTGTATATATTACATACTATATGTATTCTCTCTTATATTAGATTATTATTAATTATAGCAGACACACACACACACACAATTGAACAATTGGAAAAGATAAAATTAGTTTACGATTAGGTAGATACATTTTCAATTCGATTAGAAATACTTATATATATATTAAATTATTAAATAAAGTATATATTAAATAAATTACTTTTATTTTAAATAAAACTTCAATCCATTTAATGTAAGATAATTTCGTAATAATATACGATAAAATTTCATTAGAATCCTTTATCCTACTTTTCTTTTTTTTGTCCTCTTCAATTACTATCTTATCTATCTATTTCATTATATTCTACTTTTAACCCCATGCACGCTAATCATTTCGGATCTAATTAAATAACATCCGTTTACGTGATTCTGGTATTTAAATAATATTATTACACATTCACATTAATTATTATCATTTAACTTATTAAAATCATATAAACAATCTCTCTTACGTTTCAAATAATAGATAATTAATTTCAACCTAATGAAAAAAATCTTTTTAGTTTCACACTCTTTTATTTTGGTATATTCTACTCGTTCGTAGTACTCCTCTTGTTAATTATCGATAAGTACTATTACTATATATATAGGCAACTCTTTCTCTCTTTCTCTCTCTCTCTCTCTCTCTTTCTCTTTACCAACGAGAGTAATTGTAACAAATGGCTTTGAGAGTTAACTTGATTAGACGTTAGAAAGCTTTCTCTCTCTCTCTCTCTCTCTTCTCTTTACCTCAACCCAACCCTTCCCCCCTACCCCCTTACTCTCTCTCTATCTATCTATCTGTCCGTTTCTCTAATTACATCCGTCTTTGGAGTACATGGAGAAGTTACTCTTGATTTTGTGTGGCCCTACTGATCTCCCTTTCAGATTCACACTGTGTGAAACTAGTTTCCAAGGCGTGTACGTCCGAGCAAGGAAATCAGACCTTTCTATACACGCACATATATATATATATACAAATATAAATACATGTAAGTGTATCGGTAACTAGAAAAGTGGTTGAAATCAAGAAAACTGAACAAAAAAATTAATTTTATTATTCAATTTGTAATTCAAATAAAATTCGTATCTATAAAATAAATCGTAAAATGAATTTTTGCAATTTTTTCAGCTTAATTCATTTTCATTATTACTTACACATACTCGGACATGTATGCATAAGTACACGTATCTACGTATAGCACATATCAATCATAAACAAATATATAAATATATATATATAGATTCTACACACTGAAAATATATCACACATAATTAATTAATTTATTATTTATATTATATTTACTTTCATTTTAAAATCAATTGAGAAAAATCATCTTTATTTATTCTTATATTTTATTCCTCATTTTTTGTATTTTTAAATCCATTTAGAAAATAATTAATTATTTAATTAATTCGCGTATTTATATATATATATATATATATATATGTATGGGGAATTTCTTTGAATATTCATTTCAATTTCTCACTCTCTTAGATCTTCCGTTAGTCTATTTGCAAGCACAGTAATACCGATTGGAAGATCGTGAAGTTTGGGGCTGTCAGGTCAAAGAACTTCCGTTTTCCGTTCGAACGCTCACCACAAATATAAGCCTTCGTTGGATACATTTTTAGTAGAAGGGGGTGAGCTGAACGTAACTCTGTGTAGTATCGATTGGATAGTACCTGTCCAGTGGTGGTGATTCGACCTAAGGCCACCCTTTAAAATTATACTCCAGGGGTGAACGAGTTTGGCCGAACGAAGAAGATAGGAAAACCGTTGCCTGAACTTTCCTCTATCGAGTTTGCGAGCATCGGAGAGGAAAATTTGAGAAGAAAAAAAAACAACAAGGAAAGAGATAGAAAGAGAAAGACAGACAGACAGAAAGGGAGAATCAAATAAAAAAAAAAAAAAAAAAAAAAAAAAAAAAATAAAAGAATAGAAAAGAAGTAGCCTTCGTTAGAAAAGTTGTAATCCGATTACTATTATAACTTTTTAATCGTTGCGGGATCGAGAAGAGTATAATT